GGGGGACATCTTGACTTTTATGCCTCTCTCCTTCCGCTTCAACATTTGCTCAAAAATTTTATTCGATAGTGGTGAGTGGTGCCCATCATTTTTAAATCCTGGGCCCGCCTATGCTATTAACCACACTATCGGATTTGAACCTTGAAATTAGAAAACATCTTGGTAGGGAGAATTTTATCTCCTTATAGGCTTATTTGGCACATATCTGAATTAGTCTAGCCAGCCAGTTTTGAATTTCGGATGTCTAAAAGGTAAATATAAATAAATAATGGCATCTCTACTAAGAATTAGTTAATGGAGAAGGATGTTTTACCAAAAATTAGGGTTTCCTTCGGGCCAAAGAATTCGAGTGAACCTTTCAGCTTTATCTGAGATATTTGCATCATCAATACCCATACTTTCATAGAGTGGAACTGCTGGATACTGTCCAACGTAGCCATGGAAAGGTTTGGTTGAAATGTTTCTTATTTTGGTTTGTAAAGGGAGATCGAAAAGCTCTTTTAACGATTCAAAAATGGATTTTCGAAGGTGTATAGGAATTTTATCAAATGATGCTTCAAAACAGCCATAGTTTACTAGAGCTTTGTGGACTTGATTTTTCACTTGGTTCCATACAAGAGAGCCTGGCTTTAGGTCTTCATTTGAGAAGTCTATATTTGGAAGTTTGATAGTTTCAGAACCCATATTTACTTTAGCTTTCTTTTCTCGAGTATTTGGTGTTTTAGTTATGGAAAACGAGAACTCTCAGGTGCATTTTTGTTATGTTATTCATGCAGCTTAACTTATTTATAGTCTCTTTCGTCAAGTTCTGCTATCAGTTTATTTTGAGAAGTGTTATTTTTTAAAAGTAGTTTTCAAAAATACTATTTTTGGTGAGAATTATTTTGTGTTAGACTAATTAATCGGGTGAAATTCAAAAATAGCCAGATTAATAAGTGCTAATTGAAAAATAGCCACAAATTCAAAAGTAATCGAAATTTAGTCACTTTTCATGTAAAGATAAATCTGAACGAAAATACTGTTCAAAATCCGGAAAATATTCCAGCATAATATACTGGAGTTCCAGCATAATATACTGGTCCAGCAAAATATGCTGGAAGTTCATACACATGCTCTAATCTCCAGTATATTATGCTGGAACTTTCCGTTGTTGAAGTTTCAGCATGTTCATACACAGGTGCACCAATCTCCAGTATATTATGCTAGAATATTCCTTGTTCCAGCAAAATAATGGCTATTTTTAATGATTTTGCAAACACTGATTATTGTTCAATTACCAGTCCGAAAACTGGCTAGCCCATGCTATTTTCACTAATTAATCTGAAAAGTACTTTAATTTTGACCAATAATTAATATTTTGCCAAATTTTAAAAAGTACTTCTAAGTATATTTTTCTAAAAAATACTGTTGGGAAGAAGCTACTTTTTCTGCTTCGCAAAAATTGTTTCTGCTTCTACTTAAAAGTATTTTTTTCCTTCTAAATTGGTCAAACACTAACTTTGGAAAAATTACTTTTGGCCAAAAAAAAAAGCTTGGTAGGGATCTTTACACAAATAACCTGCAGCCACATTCACTATTTACTTTTTTTAGCCGGTTTATATGAATTATACATTGATTATAAATATAATTTACTTGAATTATTTATATATTATACATCTAACAGTTATTTTAAGTTCAAGCGATTGGTGAATGACTATTTAGGTTAATTCTTCTAATATTGATGAAGAATTTGGAATGTTATTATGTAATGACCAAAATGTCATCTCTTGTTTTAGAAGTCGGATCCGTATTTCGAGGCCTTAAAAACCTCATTTTCATTCTCCTCGATTTGTGTGCACAGTCCGAGCATATATCCGAAAATTCCTTATGTGAAAATGTTAAGAAATAATGAGTTTGGCTTAAAAGATGATTTTTGTTGACTTCGGTCAACGTTTTGGGTAAACGGACCCGGACCTGCATTTTGACAGTCCCGAGGGTCCATAGTAAAATATAAGACTTGGGCATATGCCCGGAATCGAATTCCGAGATCCCTAGCCCGAGAAAAAAAAATTGAAAAAAATTATTAACTGAAAATTATAACACTTTAGTGAAATTGAATAGTGTTGGAACTTGATGGTATCGGGATCGTATTTTGGTTCAGGATCCCGGTACAGGTCCGTTATAATATTTAAACCTTGTCTGTAAAATTTGGTGAGAAATGCAAGTAATATGACGTGATTCGAACCTTTGGTTGAGAAAATAGCAAGTTTGAACTATCTTGAAAATTTCATGAGTTTTGGTATTAAATTCATTGTTTAAGATGCTATTTTGGCGATTTGATCGCACGAACAAGTACGTATGATGTTTTTAGACTTGGGTGCATGTTTGGTTTGGAGTCCCGAGGGCTCAGATAAGTTTTAGATAGGCCACAGAATGTTTTGAACCTTAAGGAATTATTTTTGGTATTGCAGGTCTGCAGACTTCGCATTTGCGAAGTCTGGCTCGCAAATGCGAGCACCACAATTGCGAAGAATCATCGCATTTGTGATGATTGGGCTGGGCAGGAGACCTTTGCATTTGCGAAGTTCATCGTTGCAAATGCGACTTGAACAACAGCCGCAATTGCGAACATCTGTTCGCATTTGCGAAGGTAGCAGGTCAGGCCAAGCTTCGCACTTGCGAAGCATTGGTCGCATTTCCGAACCTGTGATCGCAAATGTGATACATGCAACTGTTCAAAAATAAGTTTTGACGGGATTTTCACTTTATTTCTCAAATTTTCAAACTCTAAGCTCCCATAGGCGATTTTCTAAAGAGGAGTTCTTCCCCAGATCATAGGTAAACAATTTCTAACTCATTTCCTTTAATCTATTCCATTTTTAATACGATTTCTTCACAAAATCTAGGGATTTTCAACAGGGAATTGGATGTTTTTGGGTAGAATTTAGGAATTTTGAAATTTGGGAATTTAGACCTCAAAGTGAGGTCAGATTCCAAAACCAATTGCATATCTGGGTTCGGTGGTTAATGGGTAATCAGGTTTTGGTCCGAACTTCGAGTTTTGACCAAGCGGTCCTGGGGTCGGGTTTTGACTTTTTGGGAAAAATATTGGAAAACCTAAAATTAAGCATTGGAATTGATTTCTCTAGCATTTATTGATATTATTAAGCTAATTATGACTAGATACAAGCGGATTGGAAGTGAAACCGAGAGGTAAAGCAGTAATTCAGGTTTGATTGTGGCCGTGGAATCGAGATAAGTGATGTGGCTAACCTTAGCTTAAAAGTATTAGGTATTGTTTGCCCTATTTGCTAATTGTTAGTTGTTTAGTAAGACGTATAAGTGTGGTGACGAGTATCTATACGTTATTGTCGGGTAACAACATGCAAGTGAATTCTATACTTGTGACTGGTGTGTTCCTTTATACGTATTGTTACTGCTGAAACTAGTTATTACTCATGTAAGCAAGTTTTACTATATTTTTCCTGGTTTTGGATATTGGATGGGTATTGGCCCAAGTTGAGATTTCTGTTGTGAAATTAAATGATTAAACAAAGTTATTTGATTGAGATGCCCTTTCTTATAGTGAAGAAGAGTGATCAAGCATGAAAGGTGATTCCGTTCACATTCATATTTATGCATATGGTGAGGAAGAGTGATAAAGAACGAAGGTTGATGCCGTGCACATTTACATTTACGCATATGGTGAGGAAGAGAGATAAAGCAAGAAGGGTGATGTCGTGCACATTACTATTATTCAAATGTTGAGGAAGAGTGATAAAGTACATAGGGGGATGCCGTGCACATTTCTATTATTGATTTCATGGTGAGGATTGAGAGTAAAGCATGAAGGGTGATGTCGTACATTTTTTGTTGCTGTGATTATTTGCTGTTATCGGTTCAAGTACACTAAGTGTTTAATATCCGTTACCACTGTGATTTCTTATTCTGGTACCCCATAGCATGTTGCCCCCTACCCGTTAATTTTATGTTTAGCTTTTATTATTATTATTCTGTTAGTATATTATTTAATTGTACAGGTTTATATTATTTGTCGTGTCCTAGCCTCGTCACAGTTTCGCTGAGGTTAGGCTCGGCACTTACCAATACATGAGTTCAGTTGTACTTATACTGCACTTTGCACTTTCTGTGCAGATTTCGATGACGGACCTCGTGAGTAGAGTTTGGGTTGTTGCCTTCAGTCCACAGGAGACCCGAGGTAGATCTGCCGGCGTTCGCAGATCCTGGAGTCCCCTTCCTTCTATTTTAGATTTCCTGTCTCTTTTCATTTCGAGAACAATTATATTTCTTTTAAACATGTGTTTGTAGAAATTCTTAGATATTCGTAAAATTGTGACACCAGATCATTGGGGTAGTCATATTTTAGAACTTTGAGCTGTTATGAAACTTCCGCACTTTATATATTCTTAGCTTTAGTTATTATTTATTACTATATGGGTTAATAATTAATGTATTAGAATGTATCTATTGGCTTGCCTAGCTTTCAAGAGTAGGCGTCATCACGATCTCGGCGGTGAAAAATCCGTGTCGTGATAAGTGTGTATCAGAGCACTAGGTTATCTAGGTCTCACAATTCACAAACAATCTAGGTAGAGTCTGAGGGATCGGTATAGAGACGTCTGTGCTTATCCCCTATAGGCTACAGAGTTTAGGAATAACTTCACATCTATTCTTCTCTATCATGAAATTTGCTTTCTTAATGCTAATTAAACTTCTACTCTGTTCTTTCGCAGATGGCGAGAACATGTACCACTTCATCAGATGATCAGTAGCCCGAGCCCCCTACGGAAGCTCCTACGAGGGGCAGAGGACGAAGCTGTGCTAGAGGGCGAGGCAGGGGCAAGGCTCAACCTAGAGTAGCAACACCAGCGGCGGAGCCTCAGGTAGAGTTTGATGATGAGGTTCCGGCCCAGATTGTTCCAGCATGCCCAACTCAGGTTCTAGAGGGGTTCATTGCTACCCCGGTACTATAGGATGCTCTGGTCCGTCTAGTGGGCCTTATGGAGAGTGTCACTCAGGCAGACATACTTCCTGTAGCACCAGCCATCTCTCAAGCTGGGGGAGGAGCACAAACTCCCGCTACTCGCACTCCGTAGCAGATGGCTCCCCAGTTTTAGACTCCAGCAGCTCGGCCAGTTGGGGGTAGTTACACTAGGTGTTGTAGATCAAACCGGTCATGGATCAGCTATGTCTTCTGATGCTTTGTGGATATTGGACAGGTTCACCAAGCTTTTCACTACTACCTATGGCGATACATCTTCAAAATATCCCCAAGATTATTTGGATAGTTGTCACGAGGTTCTACAGAACATGGGGATTGTGGAGACCAATGGGGTCAACTTTGCTACTTTTTGTCTCTCAGGTTCCGCCAAGAAATGGTGGAGAGATCGTTGTATGGCTAGTCCAGTTGGGTCACCAGCTTTCACTTGGGACTAGTTTTCGCAGCTATTTCTCGAGAAGTTCCTTCACATCACTTAGAGAGAGAAGTACCGTAGGCGGTTCGAGCTTCTTCAGTACGGTTCTATGACTGTCACCCAGTACGAGACAAGGTTTGTTGATTTGGCTCATCATGCTCTTCTTATACTCCCCACCGAGAGAGATGGGGTGAGGAGGTTTATTGAGGGACTCGCTCAGCCTATTAGATTGCAGATGGCTAAGGAGACCAGGTGCGAGATTTCTTTTCAGGATGTGGACAATGTGGCTAGGCGAGTTGAGATGGTTTTAGGTCAGGGGAGTGGTCAGGGGTCTAACAAGAGGCCTCG